GAGAGAGAGAGAGAGAGAGAGAGAGAGACGAGAGAGAGGAGAGAGAGAGAGAGAGACGCGTAAATCGCCGGGATGCTGAGAGGCGCACTAATTGCAAGGGTCATCCCCTAGATTCAGGCGCGACGCGAATCGCTGGAGGTAACTGGGCGACGAAAAACCGGTTGCCGATGTGTAATAACAACCAGCAAGAAATTGGAAGGTTCGCCGACCTATCTCTCTTTCCTCTCCTCACGCTTCTTTTTTCCTTCTCACGCTGTCGTGCCGCGTTATTCGACCAGCCTCTGTCTGTCTGCGGCTCTTGGTAGCGCATGTTTTATCTCCTTTGGATTTATTTCCCATGTGATTTTCTGAGAAGCGTCTCTCGATAAGCCTCGTTTCAGGAGTCCTGATTTAAAGGGCGCTTTTTCAGGAAATTGACACATTGAAGAGCGGGAACGATTCTTAAACCACGAGTTCTCAAACTACAGTGCGTATTTCCGTTTTCAGAGAATCGACAATTATCATGTTGCCGCAGCGATTGCGCTGGCTGCTGCCGGTACTAATCATGTCTTGGATGAGCCTGCAGTTAAGTGCGGCTCACAACGAACGTTCGCACGTGGCTGCGGATACGTTTGATCCTAGGTCAGTATCACGCGAGAGAGAGAGAGCCCAATTAACGTTTGCCTACACGTTAGTTAAATGTATGTAGATTTAGAGCGCGGCGTAACTACGGCGTCGACGTAATCAGCCGTGATTTAAACGCGGACGTGTTAAAGACATGAGATAATACGAAACAGTACATCCAGATAAAAATCGCGCCTGGCGTGGGAAAGACAGAATGGAGAATGCGGAAGAGGAGAAAAGGATGAAAAGAAAAGAAAAAGAACATGGTCGGCTTTTATTAGAGACACCGCGGCTTAGTTCCCGGGCTGCGCCAGACGGCCCTCCGGTCTTAACGAGGGGGCTAATTAGGGAAATTACGTGAACGCATTGAACCTCCGTGCTTATCAATTCGATGTAGATTCCTCGCTGATATACCGAACGCGTATGTCATAAATCTCTATCGGGGCCGCTTAAATTTAGAATTCCGTCGAGACGCGAACGGAGAGATTCTCCACGTGAGAAACGAGCGCGTCGTCCGCCTCACTCGCATTCGTTACATCGCGATGTTACGTATCCCGTATAGAATTCACGTACCCATTTCTAAATTAACAATTTATCGCCGAGTGTGGCGAGGGCCGTACAATGATCTTCTGGACGTGCCCTTTGTGCGTTTTACAGCGCGGCCGCTTTAACAATGACCCGCAACGAGGACCACGACGGACGCGCGCATCATCCTCCGAAGGGCAAAAACGAGACGCAATCCAACCACAAACTGGTCGCTTCCCCGGCCGGACTTTTGCGGCCCGACAAGTTTCAGTTTTATACTTACGACGACAAGGGCGATATGATTACGCGGCAGATGACCGCTCAGGAAATTCAAGGTCTCATCGCGGCAGGTGGGGCGGATCACATAGCGATGGATAGGCAGGAGCCTCAAAAAGCTGACGATGTCCTGACAGGCGGCAAAAAGGTCGGTTCGCCGTCACCAGTTTCCCATCTTTTGTCCATCGTCTCGTAACCATAGATGGCTAACAGCGCGACATATATTTCGCCTAAAATACTTTGATTACTATGATTCCTTATAGAAATTTAGTATAGTAATTTAGTAAAGGTAGTGATTAATTACTGAAAAATTACTTATTTTGAGTATTAAAAGCACTGCTGTTTAATGCTTTTAATATTCAAAATAAGTAATTTTCAGTATTAATGGGATTTCTATAAGGAATGACAATGAATGGAAGCATAAAATTTATATAAATAGAATTAAAATTGTTTAAATATATTAAGTGAAGAATATGATTTTTATAATAATCACTCAGAGAAAATTTCTTCGCGTGAATTGCTTTCGACAGTTCAATGCTATTAATAGAATATAGTATCGATAAAAGGATAGATAAGAAAGTATTAGATTATATTTAGATATAAGAACAAAACGAGGAAAAACGTGATAGGAGCTAACGGAGCTGTCTCGCATCTCCGTGTACGGGTTTAACACATTCCACGTCGTATTTTAGGTCATGGATGTGGTACAGAAGGTACAGAACGTGCTAAAGAGCGCACTCGATAAGCCACCGATCTTAACGGGTTCGATACCGAAGATTCCGGAACACGCGAACGTCGAGTGGAGCAACATTCTACCTTCGATTCTGTCTGGCGAGGCGGACGCGATCTCCCCGAACGGCGAGTCCAATCAATCGTTCCACAAGATTAAGCCGCAGAAGGTGGAAACCGCAGGTGCATCGAATACCGGAACGGGCGTTTTAATATCGAAACCACCGACGACGAAGAAACCACCGGCGACGTCGGACGTTCAGACGAACGCGTACGCTGGTTTCACCAACAACATGCAGGAAAAGCCTCAACCGAGCCATCACTCACAACAAACAACAACAATCACCGAGAAACCAATGATACCAGTTCCGGTTATCACCCTGACGGAACAAAAGCTATCCACGGTGCAGTCCACCGTTACCGAAAGCCCCATCTTCCAAATGCTCAGCGTGATTCCGGTCGAGAGCGTCGCGACTAAGGGAAGCTCGACAATCTCGCCTATGCCTGACATTAGTATCACGAATTCGGCGATCACCCAGGCATCTGTTCAGACCGAGGAATCCCTCGATCAGACGGAACAGTTTATCGAATTGGCTCTGACGAAGGTGCCGGAGGGCACGACGTTCCCGCAACTGACAACCTTAGACATGTATCCTGTAAGCATCACGAAGCAGACGACCATGAATAACAAAGTAGGCCAAGGGATCGAGGTCTCGATGACCACGCCGGGCGTATCGACCGATTCCTCCACTACGAAGCTTACGCACAACAACGGGCCCGGCGAAATGACGAACGCGCCCGACAAGATCTCTTCCTCCAGCGCGAATTACATTCTCGTGCAGAGCAAGAACAATACGAAAATATCCGACGATTCTGCGCTCGCGTCTGTCGTTACGGAAGGATCTCAGGCGAGCGGCATGACGCACAATGACGATGAAATAATTCCACAAATCAACATCCTCGCTATCCCGGCGCCGTTTTCCCACGCGTCATCGAGACCCGAGGAGGCGTCATCCAACGTAATCGCGCCGCACTCGTCATCCACGCTCGCTTCCGTAACGAGAATCAAGGCCCCGACCGTCCCGACGTCGTCGCAGCCGTTCACCATCATCTCGGATCATTATCTCAGCGAGGGCCTCTCGACGGTTACGAAAGGCTCGTCGAGCTCGGCTACGCCGGCTTACGTGGAGCATTATCTTAATCCTCTGACGACCGAGATCCAATCCCCGGCGCCGATAGAACCGTTACCCACGCAGCTAATCGACTCCTTCTCGAGTGTAATAAATCAAGTTTCGGAAGTGAAGCCACCTATCCTGCCGCTGTCGCCGAATGAGACGCCGGAGATACCGATTGTGAATATTAATTACGATCAGCGGCGCAACGTGTCCGGCTCGGCCGAGGCCACCTTGGACGAAGATACGCAGCACGATGCCGCGGTGTCCCAAGGCTCGAACGAGAAGAAGAATGTCGCTAATGCGCAAACATACGTGACCGTTACCACAGAAATTCCATCGCGAGGCACCACTGTCAGGCTCGTCGATTATATCACTCATCGGCCTCTCAGCGCGACCAACGATGACGTTTCCACGAATACTCGGGTCACAGCGACGACGTCATCCTCTTCGACCAGAATCGGGATAACAAATAACGGAGTAACGGCCAATAATTTAGTCACGACGCCAGCCGGATTGAAATCGACCGTAGCGAGCAAGATTTCGGGATCGACGGGATCATCCTCGTCCGTGCAGTTCGAAAAGATACACGTCACAGCCGCGACTGAAAGTCCTATGATTCTTGAGAGCGTTGCCGAGAAAATTGCACCGTCTTCTTCGATAGCGCCTGACGCAGCCGCGACGCAATCGATGACTACGTCGATCAATCCGAGCGCGTCCTCGAATAAGCCTACGACGATCAACGAGTACTTTGACAACGCTTTAACGAGCTTGAACTTGAGCGATCCGGTATCCGCGATCGATCAAGTGTTGAACATCGCGCCGCTACCGTCCAGCATCCCGGCGATCGAGCCGATCGGTTTACCAAGCGACACATCGAGTCTTGTAGCCAGTGGTTTGGCGAGTGGACTTATCGCCGGATTTACTATAGGCTCGTCAAACGAGAAATTCAGTCAGACGGCTAAGAACACATCGAAGCTTGCTCAGGAATCCACCGAAGACGTTACTAAAATATACGAGAAAATTGCGGGATCTAATCTAAACGATCAGAGGAAAAAAAATGTGACGCAATCGACGCAGGGAACGTTAATAGATCCAGTTCGAAACGGTACATTAATTTATGGTGTATTAACGCAGACGAAAGAATCAAATATGGCAGAACCGACTAAATTATCAAGTAGCAGCGAGAAAGTCAATGATCCCACGAAAGCACCTTCATCATCGTCGGGAAATAAATTTTCGAATACTAATGAATCGAAGTTTAATATTAAACAGAGTACAACGAACGTGGGAATCACCGTGAAACCTGAACAAACAACGATGACGGAGATTCGATTGCCAAGCGTCAATAAAACGGTACTTGGTACAAGCGACGATCAGAAAAAAACGGAGATCAGGGAAAAGGTGAAAACGACAGAAGCGTCCATTGTGAGGACAGACTTAGGTCCCGAATTATCTCAATCATCTTCTATGAAAATTGCGAATGACACTAGAAACACGGAGAGCAGTATGAAAATAGAAATACTAGATGAAAAGAATGATCCCTCCGCGAATGCTTCGCCAACAAAGGAGACCATCACCATTCATAATCCTGTTCCCGACAATTCATATAATGCATACATTGGTAATACTACAACAAACACATCTGCTTCGAACGTTACGTCTGACGGTACTATTTTATTAAATAAAAATTCTACCGATCCTGCGTTTTCGCAGAATCCAAATCGCGTCAATAGCACAGCTGGATACAAAGACAAGAACACAAGCACTCAGAATAAAAAGAATGATAATAACAATGATTCTTCTCCTTTGCCAATTCAAGAACACACCGAAAGCTCGATCGTTAAGATTGTAACGCAGGGATTGACGGGCAATGTAAGCGGGACCAAGGAAGATATTTTTCGACCTGATAACTCTACCAGTAATACGTCCAATCAGAATGATAAAAATTTGGCGCAGCCCATGTCAACGATTGGTACACCAACGCAGAGCGACAAGGATAATAAGACGGAGAGCAAGATTGCATCTTTGAAACATTCCGAGAGCTCGTCGAAACCTACGGATGCGACACGCTTGCCAGCGTCGACGTCACCATCGAGTGTTCCGATCCATCAGACGTCGAAACCTACGGTAAATCATAAACCGTCGGAGAAGGTTGTTACCAAGACCGACACTGATGCAAATGTAGAGGACAAGTGGACGCTCATATCGCAAGAAGTCCCGCCAGCCATGCCGAAGCTTCCAAAGCCGTCAAAGCCATCGAAGCCGTCGAGAAAACCAGTCCAGACCTCGTCGTCGTCCCCGAATGAGAACACCCACGTTCGTTCTCCAGGAGCTGGTGAAACAGCCACTCATCATCAGGATCACCAGGAGTCCCCGACGCAGTCCTTGCTACCATTGGATGCCTCTCAGAGCGCGGTCGGCTTAGATGTCACCATAAGACATACAAGCCCCGATATCATAAACTTCGCCAAGCTGTGCAACGAGCTGGCCTTCAACTTCTGGGCGGCCACCAATAAGGGTTTGAGCACCGCGAGATCGTTGGCGTTGTCGCCATTCGGCATGACCAGCTTGCTGGCGATGATCTTCCTGGGCGCCCGCGGTCCAACGTCCGACCAGATGAACGAGGTGCTCGGCTTGGACGACGTCGCCACGTTCAATCCGCATCTGGTCTTCCAGAATATAACCGACACGGTGAGCCTAGCCCGTGGTCAGGGCATCGTGAACGCCGCCTTCGTCCGCGAACTGTTCGCCGACAAGATGAAAGTCAGGAAGCTCATGCCGTTCTACAAGGAACAGGCCCAGCAATTCTACGAGGGGCTCGTGGCCGAGGTGAACTTTGCCACCATCAGCGACCTCGTGCGCAGGAGGACGAATCTGCTGATCAGAAAGCAGACTGGCGGCAGGATCAAAGACTTCGTCAAGACGAACACGGTACCGCTTAGGTCACCTTTAGCGGCGCTCTCCGCCAATGTGTTCCAGACCGATTGCAACAGCAGTCTGACCAGCTCCGTCGGCAGAGATGGCGAATTGTATTTCGCGGTCTCGCCGGCAGTCAGACAGAGAAAACTCGTGCCGGTCCCGGCTACGACTTGGCGATCGAGTGTTCTGGCCGGCTACGAACCCAGCATCGACGCCACCGCGGTAGCTCTCGGAAACAGCGACAAGCTGATCTCGACGATCTTCGTATTGCCGGGTCAACAGGGTCACACTGCACCTGGCGACAACCTGGATCGTCTCGAGCAGCGTCTTACCAGAAGCGCGTTCCGCGACGGTGCCTGGAACAAGCTCCTCAAGGTTCTGATACCGAGAAGCGGTCTCGAGCTACAGGTGCCCAAGTTCAGTCACAGATCCGTCGTCAACGCGACCGCTGCGTTGAAGAGAATGGGCCTCGACGAGCTCTTCTCGGGCAACGCCGACTTCAAGGGTATCAATGGCATAGGTCATCGTCTCCACCTGGCCGATGTATTACAGGTAAGATAATCACTCGACACGCTCGGTATAACGTCGCTTGTAATCATCAATTTTTGTTCGCAGATGAATTTATTCAGCACCTGCGGCGACGAGAATATTCTGGGTGGTCGACATCACGTGGAAACGTACCCCGCGACCCCGTTAAGAAGGAGCGTCGAACGACGATTGGAGGAGACCGATAATTCCGGCAGCGTCGCTGAAGAAGACACATCGAGATACGTATCGTCACAGGAGGATAACGTAGACTTGTTCTACGCAGATCGGTACGGATTCTACAGAGAGGAACGGCATCTCTCTGGATCGTTAGAGAGACCGAGATTGAAGCTCGACAGACCCTTCTTATATTTCGTCCGGCACAACCCTTCCGGCATAATACTTCACATGGGACGTTTTAATCCGCGATTGTTGCCTTAAATAAGAATTTATTCTCCGCCGAATGCCATCAATTCGATCCTGTTCCTTCTATTCGACATCCACATTCACCAACGTTTTTGTAAGATCGGGAAAAACAGCTGACTCTCGATACGATTGCTCAAACGACTCGTTCTCTAATGGTCGAACGACCCAACGCGACTCGACGTCGTGGTCCACTGTTTTAGAGGAGGTAGGACGCGTACTCGGCATGTTCTAGAAAATTTGTAAACAATTTTACTTAGAGTTATTACATATTAGTTTCATCGTCTTCACCTAAAGATAAGAAATTATGGCGATATCACGCGATATCGTTTGCGGCACGTTAATACATGTCAAACGGGCCCACGGCACTGACATGGATCTTATCACTTTATGATTTATATTTAGGGAGTGGTTAAATGCATAAAAATAACAGACTGAAAAACGAAGGAGAAAGAGACGGTACGAAAGGGAAAGATCTTAATCGCGGTCCAAATGATCATCATTTTTATAATTGTATTTCTTCATTTTTTTTATGTTCGGATAAAATGTGATGATTATACGCGATCGCCGGCGAATATTAAATATATTTTTTATCGAATGTCAATAATCTATTTGGACCCTGATTGACATTACACGCATTCTTTTTAATACGATTAACAATTGCGATATGTAACTGAACGTTGAATTTTTTCTTTTGTACATTTCGTAGAATTAATCTGTTAGGGCGCGCGTTCAGTTCATATGCACGCACATTGTACATGAAAAATGTATTTTCTTAACAAAGGAAAATGTCGAACGGTCGATGCGTTGAATAAAAAGCAACATCTCTCGTTCGTCGTTCTGTTGTTTTTGAAGGAAAACTCCAAGCCGGCTGTTTGGGCATTACTGTATTTGTGGATGTAAGATAAGAAAACTGCGTTAAGCCGATATCGCACAACGTATCATAAATAATAATATGCGAGCGTCTTTCCCAACTCGGAAACCGCAACTGATATTCTCATCGGTGTTGTAAAATATATTGCAATGTATCAGAATACATAGCAACTAAAGCGAAAATTACATTTGTACTGCTGTTACAAATTCAAATCGGTATCTTTGATAAAGCGTATGGCCCAGGCATCATAATTACATCATTATAAATATCAAATTTCACAAGTATATACATATATATATATATATA